ACTTTCTATTCAGTTCAACGACCTCTTTGTTTCTGAAGTCATCATCTCGACCTTACCTTTTACGTTTTTTATTTTTTAGTTCAACAGAATTTTCTCGTTACTCTGGTAGATGCAGCTTTAGTGTCCGTAGCAGGAGGCTGAGCGGGAGAAACAAAGCTGCAATTTCACGCTAAGACCACCCGAAAATCTCTTCCACCGTTTCAAGTAGTCCAACATATTTATTCTCATGTTGTGATTTATTGCGCGCTTTATACTCGCTTACTTCCTTACCTTGTTAGGTGTTGAATTCTCCCTCAATCTTGTGACACCCACTACTGCCTGAAGCAATTGTTTATGGAGAGTATCCACTTGGAGTTTTTATTCCTATGTTTTCTTTTTTGTTTAGGGTTTAGATGAAGGAAAGTGGATAGCTGATGCCTTCGACGTAGCGTCCAGGTGTAAAACGCAGTAGTTTTCTTCGTGTAGACCCTTTAGTATGACACTCGGCCTGAACTCCGTCAACGGCGTTCTGACCTCTGATATCAAAGATATTAAATTTTTTGAAGAGGAAAAAGTACTTGATCTAGAATACTAAGTACCTTTCCGATGTATCGTGTCGTTCCAAGACGCTCGCTCACAGGAAGTAAGAATTTAATTTTTCTTAGAGAGCGTCTCCCGCTAAAAAAACATCAGCAACTACTTTTGATCTCCACACAAGTGGCCTCTCTATTTCACAGCAGGAAAAACAGATATGTAAATTAGAGGCCAAGCTGAAGTGGACAGAAATAGAAAGAAAATAAAACGCGCGCTTCAAGCTTGCAAAGTTTGTTGGTGGGGTCTTTCTGGGTTTGGACACGTGTAGCAGTTTTCAAAAAGGAATAGCTTCCTTTCAGGCCTAACCGGCTGAATTTAGCAAAAGGAAGAAATTGGTTTCTTCAAGTGGATAAAAAGTACGATTCAAAGAGACTAAATGATGCGCGTGAGCAGTTCGCTCCAGTCCGAAGTCTCTGCAGCTCTGCATTATCCTGTGTCTGCGGCCTTTCCGTCCAGTTCTGAAACTCTTTTAAACAGCAATATTAATTGTTCCTGGAGGTGTCACAAGAAAATTTATGGTGGGACTTTATCTACCACTCGCATTTTCCGACAGATTTTATTTACCTCTCGCAAATGTAGGCGTTGAACTCATCTCAACAATAGATACATAATCTGGCAGTATGACTTTTAACTCCTGCACAAATGCGAACACTGTGGCCGTAAATACGTGAACACTTCGGCAAAATTTGCTTAAGGCTACTTTGCAAGCCTGTATAGAGTCCAATTATGGTGTAGTAGCTGTGGTAGAATGATGCAGTTTTGCCACATGTACTGACGACGCAGCATGGCAGCCGTAAATTCACTATGTGGCGTTGATCTAGTTGCCAAGCCAAATATGTTTTGTACATCGAGAAAGCTCTACGTCGCATGGGGCTTCACGCGTACGTCCGCTCTCGGCTAGTGCATGGGGGCTGGATCCTGGGTGTTTATGAAGGGTGCGTACATTCGGTAGATGCTCTCAACATGTTTCCCTTCGTAAATATTCTTAACGTTCAAAACAAAAATATATTTTGAAATACAGAGCAGGATGACTAAGCGCGCTCACACCACAGTGGACCTCGGCTTCCTTAAAGCTCGTGGGTTTGCAGGGGGTGTGCGGGCCACCATGGAAGCTCATTGGTGTAGTTCACATTTTGTCACTGCCCAGTTGAATTTGGTGTCTTTTTGTGCATTCAAAGTGACTTATTTGCGTTTAGTCCACTACGAGCGTCGACTTTTCCCTGAAAAGCATCTTTAGAGCCCCTGTCCGTGGGCAGCTGCAGTTGTTCACCTAGTGGTAGTTGTGTGACAGAGTGAGGCTGCTTCCTAGCACAGTTTTCCGTGTGCAGATGTTGCTAAACAGCCAATACTAGTTGCTAGCGGTAAATGAGTGCTGCTATTTTGTTTCGGCACTAGCGCATCAGTTCGCTGGTATCCCACGGGCAGGAATGAAGTGCCGATAATATATGGCGTTGTCTCATCAGCCTCAACTTTTCAAATACTTACATTAAACATAGAAAAACAATGGCATTTGAGGTAGCATTTGGCGATGCATCTAAAGATAAGTCCAGTCGCTTTTTAGCATCTTCTCGGTATGGAGCAACTTCCGCAAGCGTCGAGGCAGACGCAAGGCATTGCGTCCCTCGATGCAGTCTGCCGGAGGACACGTCCAAACTAAGTAATATATTATCTTCTTCTGTAAGCTGTGATATGAATATAATCCCGTTCAGCAGTCCGGAGCAGTCTCCCGCAGCGAACACAATTTTCTCTCTCCTACCTCCCTGCACGCACTCTGATAATGCCTCACCTTTGGGTGCTGTTCCGTGGCTAATGCCCCCAGCAACGGCTTCAAGATGCCACGACGCACAAAAGCAAAAGTGTTCCGCTGATTCCGCATCCTCGTCTAAACCCGAGGGGCCTCCCTGGCCGTCATTTCCACGGGGTATGCCTTATCCAGAGCGAAAACTTTTGCTGCCCGCCATAGCTGAACCTTCTGTTGAGGATTGCTCAAGCGATTCTTCTCCATCTACCGCTGGCGATGCCACAGATTCCAGCAGCAACAATTGGCTCAAAAATATTTCATCAGATTTTTCACAGGAAACGGCTTTCGACAAGGGAGTACTTCCTCCTCCAAAATGCCAAAAAGCCGTAAACCAAGCCAGCACTACGCAAGATGGAGAGTGCCCTGACAGAGATAGCGCGTGTCCATCATTTTGGCCATGCACTAGCCGCAAAACAGCGCCAGAGGCGCCATCAATGTGGAGCCCCTCCTGCGAAGGGGCATTTCCTGGTGGGCTACAGATACAGTGGAGTGTTACGGAATCGTTTAGAGAGCAAATAATGTGCCGTACATCCGCGAGCACACAAAATATTTGCGAAAGCCGTAGTCTTATTGGCACCAGCTCCACATTGGTGCATCGTGGAAATTCTATGCGTTGTGGAACCATTATGCCGCCGATGGAATATCTGGATGATGCGAATGATGGGCGATCTTGGCTAGAGCATTTGGAAAAGCTTCGCGGAGGTGCCCCTAAAGAAGAGTATAAAAGAGAGAGGACCCGGATAGTAGATGCTCTCATCCGGCGAGCTGCTACATACCCTAAAATATCTGGCATATATTTTGACAAGCACCAGGTACAGAGATATTACTTACGGCCTGCTGTGTCTTATAAATTGCTGGTAAATTTAAGGGAAATTAAAGGTCACTCGGTCTTCATCTTGATGTTGTGTACTGCATGGCACTGAACGCATGGTTGCGCAGCTTCGCTGGTCAGTTGGATGGGCTCACAATGGGCGTCGAGCGGCAAAGTATTTCCCTGTTAAACTTTTCGGGATGCGTGAGGGATACGACATGGCTGTAAGCTTCAAGTCCACCAAAACCACGTCTCTGGAGGCTTCCTCGCCACTTCTAACTAATCCACTCCAAGCTACAGAGCCACCGCCTAGCTCTACTAGGAGTGACGATCGAGGCACCGACCGAGTAGTAGTGGCAGGGGCTACTGGCCCCCTTGGAGGTACAAATGTGGTGCCGCATACTGCTGAGAGACCGATGGCAATGTCTCTCCAGCTGCAACCTGCTTTTAGTGGCGCTACTAATCTGTGCGGCCAGACGTGGCAGAGTAGCACGGAAATGTGCCCTCTGACTTGTCCAGAGAAGCCACTAGCTACGCCAGGTCTCTTACTGACAGGGAGGAGCCAAAGGCTGGCAGCTGGGGATGGAACAAGATTGCCAGACACCAATCATTGTCCAAGCAGCGTTCAGCCACAAAACTGTAGTATTAGAGTACTGCCATCGCCCTCGCAGCAAGGTCTGCACCCTACTGAAAGTAATAAGACAGAACAAGGTGGTCAAATAGGTCGCGATCATACATCAGGGCCCAGTAGTCCTATTAGAAAACCTCAGGATATACTCTCCAATATACCGGTTTTGCAGCCAAGTCCGGCACAGTGGCCCTTCACGGCATTTCCTGACATAGACAACTATAAAGTGTCTGGTCCTAGTAGTGCAGCCCCTGACAACAAAAGTAGGCAGGCAGTGATGGCGACGCCCTTAACATCTTCAGATATTTGCTATTCGAACAGTACGGAGAAGTCTAGTGAGCAGGCTTCAGGAGTGCTAGCGCCGCCCTCACCATTCATCCCTCAGCCTGCACACAATTCTGATAGAAACACAGAGGCTTCTCAAGCACCTTGTTGTCCCGATAGCCTAGAACTGTGCGGATTTGGGGGCAGCGTGGATGAAACCAACGCCAGTGTTTCCAGACCATCGACTGCCAGTAATACCAAGGCCTTGACGGGCGAAAGTAGCGCCCGTTTCAGAGGTTATTCTTCAACTACGTCTGAGGCATCATCTCCTCAAGACAAGTATGATCCTATTCGCCAAAGCTCTCTAGAGTCTTATACACACGCAGTAAGCCGATTTTGCGAAGCTAGAGAGCCCTTTCATCTTAGCTTTTCATTATTTTCTCTTTTGCTGCTTCCCTGTATGTTAGTACTTTTGACAGTTCATTGTTATTCTCTTATTTTAACCGTTCCTCTTTACTGTACTTTTGCCACTCACTTTCCTCACAGTGAAAGAACAAAAGAACTCACCAAAGCAGTTCTGTCAAACGATTTCACTAATTCGTCGGCATCTGCCGAATGTTGCTTTGTTGTGATCTTGAGCATCCGGTATCCCTAGATCTGTATCTGTTTCCCATTTCCTGCCCAGTATTTTACACCCATTCTTTCTTCGAGTGACTATTATTTTTCAGCAGGGAGCTTCTAACTGGCAGGTTAAGCAAACCCTGCAACCTGAAGAGCTAGGCTCCTCTAGAGCAACTGCTCCAACGGTTCTCCTTTCACCGGAGCTACATAGTTCTCACTCCTTGTGTGGGCCTATGCATGCTGGCAGCGTTAGCCAAAAGAAACAGTCGACCATACTGCCTGTTGAGGACAATCGTGCAGCAATGGCTGCACGCCTTCTTAGCTTCTCAAAACCAAGCGCTGAAGAAGATGTTTTTCTTTGGGGACGAGCAGAAAGATACGAACGTCTTCGTCTGCAGCAGGTTCAGCAAATGCATCACACGCCAGGCATTCACTTCGATAAGCATTCACTGAGGTGGAAGGCAACCTGGTACGACATCTCAGGGCACCGAAAAGCCAAGTATTTCCCCATCGGTAAGCCTTGCTTGCGCGCGAATGTTCTGCATGCTGATTAGCTTCAGAAGTGTCACTTCTCGCTATGCTCAGCAAAGAAATGCGTTTCCTTTGTTAAAAGAATGTGCTTCAAACATATAGATTCCAAATCCATGCTGTGGAAATTCTATTACTTCAGCGAGATACGGTTTCGACCGGGCCCGATTGCTTGCAATACATACTCGTCTGACGAACCACATTCCAAGAGGCTCTAGGTGCAAAGAAAGTGCCGCCTCTGAAGATAATGCATTTCAAGTGTTGCCCCAGCCAGTTCCAGTTCCCCAATCGGAGTTGAAATCACCAAGAAGTACTGCTGCGTCCTTACCAGCACAGGACCCCAACGCTCCTGGGGCTTTGCAGCTCGAGAAAGCAGACCAAAATAAAAGCAATCCTTCATGTTTCCCGGAACAGTGCGACTGTGAGTCCTCGCGCACACCAGGCTTCTTTGGCAAAACAGCTTCTTCCAAATTGACGCCATCATTTGTGAAGTCAATGTGTTTAGAACCAAGGTTGCGCTCCTTGCAGACAGAAGTAAACCCACCTCTGCCGTTGGTGCTTCGGAGATTTCTATTGAGAGTGATCAACCTAATACGCTCAGCGCAATCACGGACGGTGGATATGACGAGGAAAGAGATCGACGACTTTCAAAGGCAGTGAGGTTGACGAGCAACTTCATTCCCAACTTTTGCTTTTGGCCCTGAACGATTCATAGTTTTAAGCTCGCTAGCGCCTCTAAATGGTTGGATTTTCGTATAGGCCTCCTCCCAAAAATCATTCCTAGACTATTTGTAAAATTTTGCAACTCAAAAATTCGTCTACGCTCCTTTTACTTCGCTACATTTGTGCAGCCTTCACGAGTGCTTATACGGCACGCATCTAGACTGACAAGAGTACCAGGCATCTGGTTCGACAAAAAGCAGCTCCGATGGGCGTGCACGTTTACTGATGTCCAGGTACAATTAGAAAATAATATTTCCAGGGGATAAAAAGAAGAACACGGATTGCTTTGTGTCGAAACTTTAACAAACCACTCTTTCTTCTAGGAATAAACCAGTGTGTTTCAAGTGCTGCTTCTGCAGTCTGGAAAGCGGCGAGCTGAATACTTTCCAATCCGGCACTTTGGATTCCTCGGTGCTCGGCTGTTGGCTGTGAATGCACGCAAAAGGATGGAAAGAGCTCGCTCACAAGCTTGTGGCAGCGCATTTGCCACTGATAAACTGAGAAAGGAAAACATCGAGGCGCGTGAACCAGCGCATGATACGAGTGACGCTATAAGGGAGGCGGGCAGCCTTAACCATCGCCTGACGCGAGATTCAGACACACCAGACCTCTGGAATAGTTACGTACTTGAGACACTTCAGCAGAGAGGCTATGCAAAGGAATTTTCATCGAGCTCAGGAGTTGAAGCATTGCCAGTACTACTGCCAGGATGCGTAAGCGTTTGTGCCTACCGCGCTATTTTCCAAGTATGCAATGGCTCCAGCTAATTGTCTGCTAGACATTTTGAGAAACTTTCATGAAAGGTGCTGCTTTAATGTTCCCTGTCACCCAGGTTGATGTGGGCAACCATGCTTCAAATGGCACTCCTCTCGAGGAGGACTCGAAGTGCACATCTATTACAGCACAACGAGAAGATGTAAGCACATAGATGGGAATATACGTGTGAACTGCGTTAGATGCAGATTTATGCGTGAAAGAAGCTCAGAGCGCAGAAGTGGGTGATGTTTCAATTTGCCGCTGCAATCTGAAAAATTTTAATGGCGTTTTCAGGAAAAGATAGTCGTCGCTCGAGCAAATTCAGAGAGCATTCTTTCCATGGGGCGAGCAGCCATTCGCTTTCTTCTCTGCGACTTGCGAACTCATTGCCTGAATGCGCTTGGACCTGAATTTTCCGCAGAAGACTCCACCCTTCACATGACAATGCTGCAGAGGCATGCACTGTGGATTGAAAAAGCCCAACACTGCCAAAGTCTAGAAAAATATTTGATCATCTTTGCTGGCTGCATCAAGCGGATGAAATTACCAAGTCACCTTTGTGAGGGAGAACAAAGAAGGCTACTTAAGAGTATTGCTGCTCTAGCAGTCCCCCCTGTGAATGATTATTAAATTTTTCACTTACACACCGGTGAATACTGGTTCTGCATACACAAGCGGTTTGGTCTCAAAGTCGCCCAAATGCATGCAGATGATGCGGTGAGTCGCCGAGCGCACAGGATGTCTTGGGATATCTTAGTGCACGGTGAATAGACTTTGAATACTTTTTAAGCTTTACACTATGCTCGTACATTTGAGCCCAATACAGCAACATAATCCTGCTCAATCAGGAAAGTGTTTCTAGGCTGTGCAGCTAAATTGCATGCTTTTGCTAGCATAAGCAGCAATTTTTGTTCCGCACTATCATGTATTACTTTATCTGTAGGATGGCACGTCAGAGTAGCATTACTTGTTTCACTTTTGCAGAGAAACGCCACCCGTCCATTATCCGAAATGCTTTGCAACGAAGCATTGGCGGACCGTCTCACTGCAATTTGAACTCCGTCTCTGCTTCACTGACCGGGCTAGTTCCGAGCGATCCTAGGGAATCTTTGCAAAAGCTACAATTTCATAGAACAAGCCTAAACTAAATTACTCTATTTCCTAATGCCACAGGAAGCTCAGGCTAAAGTCACAGGTTGCATGGGTAAGGTCCAGATCCAAGCAACTTCAATTAACCAGGTGGTCAGTTACTCTGTTTCTTATTCTCATATAGCCTCTGCTAATGTCTGGAAAATTGCACGGTTAGGTTTCA